TGCCTAATTTGATGCAAAACTTCATGTTAATCCGTTGCTCCAGTTTACAATGAGACGAGTTCTCACACCGACTCCATTCGCTTGGTCGCAGCGTTCCGCATTCAAAGGTTAGTACAATAGAGGGCTTGTTGACATGTTTACCAATGCGTATGCGCGGGACTCTTATCCTAACCAGCGTGGTATTCGACATATGGGACCATGCACAGAACTTTTAAGACGCACATTGTAATTCCGGAAACGGCTGGTCACAGACAGACATACGAGATTATCGCACCTCATACAATGAAGTGTAAGGGGCCAAGAGCAATGTCCCATGGCTTGTTGGAGAGAGTCAAAATAGGAAATCGTGGGGAAAGCTGTTCCTTGCTGACAGGTCAAAGATAGAAGGTAATTCCGCTGGCATCCTACACGGTTGTATTGCTCAATCATGATCAAGTGGTTATCTTGATGTTATTGAAAAGGCTAAGCATTAATTTGTGACAGCATACATTACTGGGATCAGCCAATACTAAATACATCATTATGAGACCACCATGTAATCTTTTGCAGTGTCCATTGAAAACTCAAAGCACCTTTAGTACTCGATGTTAATTGGAGTTACGTAGGCCTCTGAGGTTCTTTATTGCCCGATGTTGTGGAGTCCGTAGCACCTCCGCAGTTAAAATTGCGATGTGAAGGCAATCTCTGGATCCCACGAAAGATGACTGCCTTTCGCAACGGATCAGCGTTGGCTAATTCTTTTTGATGCTGACTCAGAGTGTTGTGGTAAAGTGATGTCACCATGATTAAGAATACCGAGGTTTAGTTCCTGGGACGTGATCTGCAGGCTGTGTGTACCAAGCTTGCGCACCACTTCTCGCATGCCTGTCGACCACCTAACTGATTGTCCCTTACTTGATGAAAGTATGCTTTCGCGTTACAGGAGTCTAGATGAGTACCTGGTAGGGTTGCGCATGAAAGATTGCGAAGAGACTGGAATCAAAAGACTGGTCACATTATGGATTAAAAGGCAAACATGCCGCAGTGTTGCCGACGATTCGACAGCCATTACTCACGAATACTTCCGCTATACGATTGTTTCCTCCACATTATATTTATTGGCACACATAAATAGCTGTGTGAATCGAGGTGACTGGATTCATCGCATTTCGGTGTTTCACTCGTAGGAAACAAACGTGAGAGTTCTCCACGTCTTCAACATGGGCTCTGGGGGGAGTGGGTCCAGTAGAGTGGCATGTGTGTCAGACGGAAGAAGCAATTGGACTTGAAAAGTGGTATAAATTTTGTCGACCCGATAGAAATATCATTGGTAAGTGTTGTAACAATGACATCGCCCCTGCCCTCTGCACTCCAAACTAGCCGGGAGAGAAAACAGAAGTCTGCTAGACGGAAGTGCAGTAGGAACAAGACACGGTTAATTTTATAGGTCACATGCTGTCATGACCGGCTGCAGGTTTCTGAGCCGACTCACGCCACTTGCTTGGACAGATTCCAAACCTGCTAGAGGTCTGCACTGGTTAGGTGCAGTTGCACTCACGTCTGTCGCAAAGCGACCTGTTTCATGCTGACGGACTGATTTCAACAGCTTCCCGTCTGACAGCCGTGCTACCGACAGCCAGGTAGCAACCCATGTCATGATGACGGACGTCTTGGAACCGTGTCACGTTCTTAGGTTGCGACTTCCGATTAGTAAGATTTCCGAAAACATCCAGAAGCTTCTTTAGGTGTTGCCCGCCTGAAACCACTGCACTCCATGACGCGTTTCGAGGTTATTTCCTCTCATCAGATAGAGATAGCAGGCATCGAAACCGGGACCATTGAGATGTTAGTTGTGACCGCCACCCCTAAGCCACCGGGTCACGACGGGCAAAGCTTGGCACAACGGCAAGTAACAGATTGGAAAGTGAGTTTGAAGTACACGTTGTGTGGATGGATTGCGACGCGCAATCTCAAAGTAGACCGCGATTGAGATTGCGCGTCGCAATCCATCCACACAACGTGTACTTCAAATGCACTTTCCAATCTGTTACTTGCCGTTGTGCCAAGCTTTGCCCGTCGTGACCCGGTGGCTTAGGGGTGGCGGTCACAACTAACATCTCAATGGTCCCGGTTTCGATGCCTGCTATCTCTATCTGATGAGAGGAAATAACCTCGAAACGCGTCATGGAGTGCAGTGGTTTCAGGCGGGCAACACCTAATTTGCTGCTGCTTCATCAGCTGCGGTCCTACTGATCGAATGGCCAAGGTTCACTTCAATGGGAATCGCGGTCTACTTTGAGATTGCGCGTCGCAATCCATCCACACAACGTGTACTTCAAACTCACTTTCCAATCCAGAAGCTTCAATTGCTCATTTGTTCGCCGAGTTGCGAATTCGCAGGTTTTTGAGCTTTTGTAGAAATTGCTGGGCATTATTAGTGAAATATTGCGATCCACAGGTCAGATGTTTGAGGCGTATCCACATTTCTTTCGCCAAGTTGTAGGTGGGTGTTCCTGGTAGTGACACGATCGGTCGTAATAGTGCATCATCTTTGTGTACCTTTGGGAGTCCATAGAATTGCGCGATGCTCGAGTCACGGGCTCTCATTTGTTCGCTCTCCTCCTTCGTGATTTGATTCTTTTCTTGAAGTTGTTTCAACGTTTTGTTTAATTTGCTTGCCACCTGTGAGGTTGGATCGGTGTCAATGCACTTGTAGGTCGTTGTGTCGTTCAAGAGACGTAAAGCTTTCTCAGTGTAATCCTCTTTATCCATTATAACAGTCGTCCGTCCTTTGTCTGCCGGCAGGATGATGATCGTTTCGTCAGACTTCAAGGATTTTATTGCCTGCTTTTCTTGTCTGCTTAGGGTATTGTATTGCCTGTTGCGCATTATAGCTGGAACAATAGTGTGTCTTATTTGCTTTTGAGTCTCTTCTTCCATTCCATTGGATTGTAGATCGCTTTCGAATGCTGCCAGAAAATCTGTTGTTGCTGCATCTTTGAAGTTATAGTCTAGTCCCTTGATGAGGACTTGCTGTTCCGATTCGTTAATTTGTCGTTTAGACAAATTTCTGATCCAGCTATCACTAGTAGTTCTGTCTTTGGCACAGGTCAGTTTCGATAACTTATCGAGAAGTGCAGTATGTTTCTTTGTCCTAGTGTTTGTTGCCCGACGTTCTATTGCAGCGTCAAGTTGTTCTGTTAGCTGTTCTCCAATAATTTGAAGACAGGTAGACCAATGTTTGTCCAGACATCGTTCATATTTCTTGAGTCGATTGTGAGCGTCAGTGATCATGAGCCGCAGCATACGCCTGCCAAATTGCCGAGCGGCTTCCCACGCTTGTGGATGATTAATCGGCGGTTTGTAGCTAACACTGCGGGGAACAATGCCCCTTCTCAGGCATTCATGAAGGAAGAAGAGCTGTTGCCTTGTAGAGGCTTGTCTGCAAGCGTAATCCTCCCAACGGCGAGCAGTGCGGAGCGTTGAACGCCCGTGATTATTTAAAATGTTTTGGAAAACTGGTAACTCGGGTTGGTAATTCAATTGCTCATTTGTTCGCCGAGCTCGGCGAACACCAGCTTTGTCACCAGCACTGCACCCTAAGACCGGCGTCATTCTTGTTTGAGCTATACAGGATACTCAAAAATCTATTAGTGAACTTTGCAATGTTGTATCAAGCAAGCACTGTTCATCTAGGGATTTTGGTGTCAGCCGTCAACCACTCTGTGTCGGGTTCAGTTCCTAGCATAGACTAGCTGGTGAGTTCAAATAAGGACTAAACCAGTCACGGAGTGCAGAGTTTGGAGAAGCGAGCAGAAAAACTCTTCGGACACTGTCATCACAATGATCAGAATAGTCGAGGTTTGCTTCCAAGTAGAACATGAGCCAAACTGAGATTGCGTATTCCAATCCAGTACACGGTGGGCACTCAACAATGAACGGAGTTTTGGATACTTAACCATTCCGTTTGACGATGCACACAGCATGCAGGTGCCTGCATGGCAGTGGAGGATGCGTCGGGCTATATCGCATTTAGCCAACAATTCATGATAGTCGGATACCGTCCTCCATGGCGCAGTTGCACAAGCTGTGGGCTAGTTGGCAAGAGCCACTAGCAGTCATGGGTTCGATCCTCCGCAGAGGACCGAAGGATGCGCACCACTGATGAGCCCCAATAGGGAGAAACGGCCGTCTGGTGCTTTTCCGGATAGCTGGTCGACATAGCTGAATTGTCGGCTGATTGCGACGAACAAAAATACTCACTAATATCCTTCCATTCATAAGTAAGACCCGGAAGGATTTTTGAAAGATATGAACAACGTTCATCAAATAAGCAATGTGTGCATAGCACACTAAAAGCCACTTTTATACAACTGTGTAACCCCTTGTCACATTACGTAGCTTGTGATTCATGTGAAAATGAGCGTGTTGTGAACATAGGGGGGTGCGTTGAGTGACCATGCCACTGCAGTTGGGATCGTATGCTTCGAATGTTCCAGGTATCAGAAATGATACCTTGTATCCGCGATTATGAAGTACCTGCCTAGGCAAAATAGCTAGAAATCGCTGAACAATATTTCCCACATGACGGTGGTACTGAGCATCATTGGGTCGTAATTTCGCAGAGGAGTGATGACTGCGGATCGGTATCAGTTAGTCGAGTAGAAGCTGTAACAATTCAGCAGTTGGCAGGTGACCGATGGATCCGTTGGTCGGTCTCACTGTGAACAAATAAATACCGACGTTTTGTGAGTGAAACGTTCATGGTTGATCCGTCAATAGGGGAAAGGATTTTCCTAATTGACGAGCAGACGTCATGCGTCTGTTGGTTGAGTGAAGACCCAAGTTCCGATTTATGTGTGCCTTGCATTTGTTGTGTAATTGCATAAAAAGTAAACGCTAGCAGCGTGACTCATGGAACTATGAGGGTCTTCTGATTCATTTTGAAATAATTGTTATAGGAACATGATCGTTTTACCAAATAAACTGCCAGAGTTGAACTTTCCCAATTAAATTTACAGTCCCCTGGAGCGCAATCTGACGTGGCTTCCGCTGAGGATATCGCATGCAATGACCGCAAACGGCGCTACAAGCATTCCACTCGTTTCAACACACATGGAACGCCATCCCCGATGGATAATTGTTTCCCTGAACCGCAAGATCGCTGTACTGAGTTGTTCGGGAAATATGAACAATATCCATGCTCAGTGAAAAGGAGGCCGGAACTGAGGAATCCCGATCGAGGGTATTCGACAGACCGGATTCCTGACCACCAGCTGGAAAGCCCACTACACACACAGACACCGTGGATGGCAGTTCGAACGGAGAATAAATTTGACAGCGCGCTTTGGACAGCACTGAGCGCCATCAGCTTGAGTGCGGGCACACAAGTGTCCAAGCAACAACAACAGAAACAACAACAACGGGATTTGCGGACAATTCAGTTTCTCAGCTCAGTTTCTCCAAATATGCAACTTCGTCCCCCACCGAATCACAATCCGTTTGCCAAGAATGAGTCCATTTAGTACATATTTGTGTCGGGCCTATTTATCAAATCGCGCCCTACTCCATTCTAGGAGATCCGTGCAGATCGGCACGTAGTCAGTCTCAAAGCATCCACATTCACACAGCGGAAGCGTGTGGCAAAGTAGTGGACGTCAATTTTGAACAACACACGCATCTAACCAATGCGCCAGCAACAATAATCCGCGTGACGAAAGAAAAACAAGCCATTGTCGGTGGCGCGAATTCCGCCCACGTGAACTAGTTTAATCTTCCCAATCTTCCTTTCAAGTCGCTCACTTCTTATTTTATTGATCCGGTTCCTGCTTGCATTATTCAGTTGGTTTATTTGTGTAGTATTTGATTTCATGAAACGAAAGCGGTGATAATGAGACAAGCATACCTTGTGACGAACGCTCGAGTAAAGTGCACACAAATACCCTACTTATAAGTAATCAAAAAATGCCCCAACAATTTTCGATGAACAATGATTTATCACGGGATAAAAGCAAGGGCTTGACACGTCCCGTAGGATGGTAGCGATGAATATGATGCAATTAAAATATGTCTGGGTCATCTATCGAACGTCTGCCGCGATGAATACTTTGATAATTAACATCAGTGTAAAAGGAAAAAAAATTATCGCGCGCAAACGTTCAGAAAGACACTGGGATGCAGTGATAGTTGAGGTAAGGAGTGAGAAAATAAAATATGGTCGCTCACTTAGGTCCATTTGATACATAAGTCCTGTTGAAAACATGCTTGGCGTGAATCCACAATAGAGGAGCTTAGGCGACAAAATGTTGGGAGCTAAGAGCAACATCTAATCGTTTTTTTGAAAACATCCAAGGTAGGAGAGGATACAACTGAGTCTGGGAGTGTGTTCCAGGGTTGGCAAACCCGAATGGAAAAGTAATTCCGTCGACACGCTAGACGGCTATATTGTTCCTTCAACTTTAAGCAGTTACCCCCGAGTTGCGTGTTGTGGCTAAGTTTCAGCAAATGGCGGCATACGTGGTTGGGGTCACTCAGTATCTGATACGCTAATATGAGATCGCCGCGCAGCCTTCGATAACGTCCGCTGAAAATTCCCAGCAACTTCAGCCTTCGGTGGTAAGAGTGCAATGTCACACATAAACGATGTGAGAAGATGTGGTGCTAGGGGCTAGCCATGTCTTCTGCAACGGTTGTAATTTGCATGATGCTGGAGGATTAGGCGCATTATATCGCCGTTAGCTCGTAAGATTGTCTCTCATGGTCTAGTGGTATCTGCCGCTGGCACCCCGCCAGTGTGAAGAGGCTACGGGTGCGATTCCCGATGCAGCCGAGGGGTGCGCACCACAGACGGGTCCAAATAGGACGAAATAGCTGGCTGATGCTTTTCCGGACTTGTGAAAGCTTGTGTGGCTTGTAAACGGTTGGTAAGAATCTTCAATTAAGAAATATGTATAGCTTGTTATCTGTCAAGTTGTTTTACGCTACAGAGCGCGTTTAGCACAAATAACATGTGAAGGAGCTTCGGTTCCAACTCAGAAAAGTGTGCAAGTTTAGTGCGGTCAATCTTCCTTTAACAGTTCAAAGAAAGTGGACAGCTACAAGGTAGTTGAGCTTTGTGTGGCAATAATGTAGAACGGATGCAAGTGACATGCGGCGGTCCATATTACTAGGCAACCGAAAGTGCACCAGATGGCGCTGTGTACTGATAAACTCAGTGACGTGTATCGCTGAAGAGAAAAAAAGTCGTGCAGGATTCACAATCGCAGAGGATGGGGTGAAGGAACTTATCTCGGTGCAGGAATGAGAATAGCAAAGACCACAGTTTGAACTCAGAACGGAGTTGAAGAAACACACATAACTGAAGAGAACAAACAAATAATGATGCGACCACTCGACTTGGACGAAATGCACTGCATACCGACTGACATATTAATGGAGGATGATAAGGTTACATTTGCGTAGGCGATGTAAAGCGATGCTGGGTTGTCTCATGTCGTGAGGAACACTGTTTCGCATGGTACCGGATTGAAGAAATTCATAGGGATCAGGTGGGTCAAGAAAATGCGCAATTTTCACATGTAAGTACCCTAACGAGTGTCATTGCTTGTGAACTGCCGGGATTTACGAAAGGGCCGTATGCGAATGTCCAGCAGAATAGGTTTGGTTCTATTCGCACAGAACGCTGCAGATAGAAGCATATAACGAACGTACGCCACAAAAATTTCAAAAAATGCAAGTAAGATTGACATTCGACATCAGATACGAATTCAGCTAGTTCGTGTACTTTCGACAGCCGTTTAGACACACCTTGTGGAATGGTTAAGTTGCAATACAGAGACAAGCAAAGTGCAACGTCATTAGTGAATCGATAGTGACCAACGTCCACTTGAAGCTGACGATTGCTGCATATAGCAGTGTAGACGCAAAATTTGTTCTTCTTTCCTAACAGCAGAAATCCCAAGTGAGCCTTAAGTATCGATTCCGGAGGGAAGTAGGCCAGATGTTGGATGATGCAAGCGCCACGAGTGGAATTGTGAGATGCGGAGGCGCAGTCTGTAGTGGGTCTTCAGTTGAACCTTTCTAGCATGTACGGAATGATCTGCGAGGTCACATTCATCACTGTCGAACGGGAACTCCGCGAGCATGCAACCACGATGAGCTAGAGAATGAGGACAAACAAGAGAGAAGGGGGATCAAGTGTAAAATCTGCATACCCTGAACGCCAGCAGTGACAAAAGGAAAAAGGGTATTAGAGGTAAGCTGGGGAGTTTTACCAACGCATTGCTGCCAGACGACCGCCAAAAGTCGCGCGCGAGGTCGTCCGCAATTCAGCAGATTCGAACCGGTTACAAGATAGACGCGTCATTACTTCGAATACGATGCAAGCAAAAGAATGCCTGCCGCAAATGTTTAAGGGCAATATTTCCACATCCCAACAACAACAGATGGTCATCAACAAGCGGCTATAGTACACATGTAAAATGGTATCGGCGAGGCAGGTTCCTTGCAGTTCCCACTATGTTGCTTCATCCCAAAGATAACTCAGTATCAGGCAAACTTCAAACAGGCACTCCGGCTGGGAGAGGACAGCAAACGCACCGCTGTTGCCTGCTGAGTAGCATGTTCTGTAAGGTCGAAGGCGAAGCACAATGCGGGTCTCGTCGATTCCAGCTTGAAAGGCAAGACGAGCGAACGGCACCCAGTTTAATCGTCAAAGGCTTCAGTTGAGGCGGCAAAGTCAACTTTTGGCCGTCTCGAGCCTCGCGATACTCAGCATCAGGCAAACAAAATAAGACTCCTTTCATAGCATGCACCCGAACTGGCGCAAGTTGTTCAGCATCATTAGTTGTTCTAAAAAGCTAACCTGACTAATTCCGTGTTGTGCTCATGAGTGTCATTCGGCAACAGCAATGCTCCACAAACGATGGCCACACAAACCGCGATCACCGTTGCCTGTCTGTTATGGCCTAACAAAGAAACGTAATGAGTTGAGATTTCGTAGCCAGTCCCTGTGCAGCTATCGAATCTTTCTAGTTAGGAATACCTGTCTCGGGAAAGGTCCCTATATCCAAAAACTTTTGTTGATGTGACGAGGGTAGAGGTTAAGATAGAAGCAAAAGAGACAAATGGGAACGAACATTACGGGATGCAGAGTTCATGCTTTTAGAGATAGCACTCACTGACTGCTATAAGAGATATTCTAACAATGGATCCAATGAGGCGCTGCCGGTGAAAACCGGTTGATCTAAACGATGGAAACGACAGTGACTGTTGGTCAATACTGTGAGGCGCAATAGTCAATCTTAGACCCACCAACCAGGCAGGTTGCACCTTATGGTACGCGCAGTGCATGCATATATATATATATATATATATATATATATATATATATATATATATATATATATATATATATATATATATATATATATATATATATGGTTAGCCGTATCCGGTTCTGGAATTGCGGTAATGCGGCCTCCACGGGGACAGCCACAAGACGCTTGGGCCGACAGAGACGGACCAAGGATGGTTTGCGCTGCACTCCCAACCGCTCCATGCACACACCCCATATCCAGTGTAAACCCGAAGGAATAAGACCGGGAGGCATGTGGATGGGAGCCACATTTCATCAACGGAGCCGCTCCATAGTTTTTCAACAAGCAGAGAAGCATTCATGATTTATTGGTAAATCAAGCGTACGAGACGCACACAAGGCGGTAGCTGGGCCGTAGCCAGTTCAACACTGAATGGACCCACTCGTTGAGCCTAGCATGGCCAAGAGGGCCGTGAACCCTGACCATTCCACCAACGATTCACAGTCTCCTGGAGCCAGTAATCCAGGTGGAGGGTGTTAGACGGGTAGGCACCTTGTTAACATTCACATCAAGTGAAGCCTCAACAGGGGTATCAGGCTACAGCCAACCTCGGCAATGCAAGAATCTCAACACGCAGATACACGTATAGACCAGATGCAACGTGGATGACGCGCACGTACCATATCGATTGCCTTATCGACTTGGGTTAATAAATTGAATCGGAAACCGCCGTCTTACCAAGCGTCGTGCTGCTGATGACATTTAGCATACCAGTCTTCTCTTAGATGTTGGCCTAAAGTGGCGACGCTGGTGGTTTACCAAATCCGTTTGGCTAAGGCACTCACGACCACATGCGCTACAATGCCCTCGAAGTCGATGGGTAAGACTCTATCGACGCCTGTCGCTTTCACAACTGAGGTTTCTTTTCCGCATGCAGTAGTGATTTCTCTTGCACCTGGAAAGCTGCGTTCTTTATATACTCTCGCCACCGGCGTCGATCCATTGCCATCGACGTCCATCACCTGAAATCAACATTAGTTCGTGATAAACTCACCTTGATCATGTCCTGATAACAACTTCGGTTTTCCCACGTGCCACTTTCCTGCACGCAATTGGCCATAAAGCAGCTGTTTGGGTATCCGAGTCGAATCTATGCGGCGAATAAGCCCGTCATCTCAGGTGTCGCAGCAGAAAGATGCAGTCCACTGCATACATGCCACCGAATCGGAGCACTTCCGTGTCTGTAACTCGTTCATTCCAGCCGATGCGCATCATATGACGCAGACATCGTTGATGAAAGCGCTCCAGATAACGGACTTCTTACCGGTAAAGCGTCCAACTTTCGCTGCCGTACAGAAAAACGGACAGCACCATCGACTAGTATACCAACAGCTTCATCCCGACAGTGAGCTGGTGATTATTCCACACACGACATTCCAGTTTGCCAAATGCGGCAGGCGCCTTCGATACGCGGTTGCGCAGCTCGCTCGTCATCTGCAAGTCGGTTGTTATTACGCTCCCAAGGTAGCAAAATCTCGGAGTGGTTTCCAACATTTCGTCGATAACCTGGATTTGAGGCAGGCCCACCGACTCCATTCCGGATGAAGGCTGAAATAGACAAACGGTTTTGCTTGTGTTGATGGTGAGCCCGAATTTGGCCGCTGTCGAAGCCAGAGCACTAGTCATATGCTGCAACTCATCTGCGCTGTGCAAACAACGCGCAGGCCAGCGAACAGCAACCTACGGATAGCTGTCACACAGACTAGGGTTCTCGCACCGAAACAACAGATGTTCAGCCAACCACCATCAATACGGTGCTCCACACGGACACTGTAGTCGCAAGCAGTATCAGAAGTACAAGACAGCATTGCAAGAAGGTAAACATAACAGAGCAGAAGCTAAGACACAGTCTTGCTTCACACCGGAGACAATATCAATGTTATCCGAGGTTTGTCCACTCAACTGCACTCTCGCCTGCATAACACTGGGCAAACATTCAATTGAACTCACAAACTTACTTGGGGAACCAGACTTACCCAACACCAGCCACAGTTCCTCGCGGTTCACCGCAACAAGTGCCTTGGTGAAGTCAACAAACAGTGACTACAATGGCTGGTATGGCTCTCTGCATTTCTCCTTTAGCTGACGAGCCGTGAACATCTTATCTGTGGTGTTCCGGCCCGAGCGGAATCCACATTGCTATTCCACCACGTTCGGTTCCACAACCTGACTGCCGTGGCGGGTGAGCAGGATTAGGACAATCACCTTGCCCACACAACTCAACAAGTTGATACCATTAACATTTAATTCTGACATTTACACGCATCGCTCGAGGGATGAGCTGTACAGCAATATGCCAAGAGGGGACAAATGTCTCGGCATAATAGAAAACATTGATTAAAATAAAAACTCCAAGCAATGGTCGGAACCGCGTCAATTGTCATCATGTGTGATTAGGCGCATGTTATGTAAGGCGTGATGAAGCGCCTCGTATGTAGGTGTCATACACTTTCAGAACAAGACGAAACGTCAAAACACGAAGGTCAGAGGTATCAAGTGATGTCAATCCGAGTGCAGTAAGATGTTTGGATGAAGTGATATTTTTTCCCTCAATTATTGGTAATGAAGGGGTGATGGATGATATTCATCGTCTCAGGAAATCGTTTGTGTATGTATCGCGAGGTGGCTGTTGAATTCCCCATGACCCCTATTTATCCACATTCAATTTGTGAGTTCATTCCATTCGGTACGCGTCACAAATGGCTACATTCACAATGTGAACCGTGGAATTAGTAACTGCAAGCAAGTCTGGTTTCATCAAAAAGAGATGGCGGTCGGAATCATCGGCTCCAAAACAATGTTAGTGCAACGACGCCGCAGTTGCCTCGCAACCTGTTGCGCAATTTCGTTTACAGCGGACATCATGCGTGCTGCAACAGGCCTGAAGAATATGGGACAAATTCTCCTTTTGTCCGCAGCCACCGCGGCAGTTGAGAGAAGGAGCATCATTTGTGGGTCTGCCTGTGCTTCGTCGTGTTTTGGTAGATAGAACAGCCCCTGTAGTTAGACAGCCTAAATAAAAAGACGTGGAAAAATCTTGGTGGAAGCACTTAGCCAATGGTGCGCGGAAGGTGTCGTGACTACATTTCGTGAGGGAGGACCATCCACTGAAGTGAAGAAAGCATCTCTCCAGAGTTCCACAGCTGTGCATTAATCCACGACGACACGATTATCAATGGTTACAGTAGGATGTGCTAGCTGATGGATGACAGCGGCTGCAGGGTCCCGGATCGCCAAACTGGTAACTGGATGGCAATTGGTAAGGCCGTTGCAGTCTTCCCTTCCGCAGCAGGGACAGACAGGGAATGTCCGGGCCAAAATTCCTGATGGGAACGTGAAGATATGCAATTGAGGTGTCTGACGGCAAACGCAGCCACTTTCTAACATGGGATCTGACAATACGATCTAACCGCTGCGAGAGCTAACTGTAGCAGATAAGTTCACAGAATCCCCAGTCGTTGCTGTGGTTTAAGCAATGCCTTGGTGACTTTGTCGAGTTGCGCAGTAATGTCGTCAATTACAGTTGGAGGGAGTTAACCCCTCCAGTTAAATGGCAGTCCCAATATATTAAACTTTTCATCTGGCTGAATAGACGACATATAACAAGGGCCACAGTCTAAAGCATTCATATTCAGTATGGTCCGCTTGCGAACGCCGTCAACAACTTTATTTATCGAGAAAAACTTTAGGTGCTTGATGTTGAGACCGACGCACTGCAGTCATTGATGGAATCATTGAAGGTGATCACTGAGTGAAATGGGATCTTGCGTAAAAATGATCA